TAGAGAGAAATTTAATCGAGAGGATTCTAACCTGTTTTTTGCCCTGTCTTATAGGCTGCTAGTTAGGGCATATGGAACGCTAAGACTAAGGACAAGGAATTGATTTAGTTGGCTAGACTAGCTGCTGTATAGCCTTATAGTCCCATCAAAACGGCCTTGTCTGAAACAGCGTTTGTTAGTTGATTTTTTTTTTTTTTTGGTTCGAGACTTCGAGTTTGTTATCGATGCATATACGGAACTTGCTTGTATGTATAACACGGACTGTGGGCAGGAACGGTTGCAGGTCCTAGCGATTTGTGCATTTTATACACTGCGTAACCTTTTTGCACATTGCGTAATTTTATTTGCATAACGTGTACTTTATTTGCACAACGTCGAAGCAAACTTTTTTTGCACACTCTTTAGTACTTTTAGTTTCTTATCTCTAGGATCTTGGCCTATTTGATCCTTTATGTATTACTATATACCGATTTAGTCCATTATCTTTATGAAACAAATCCAACATAGGATATGTAACGGAAAATTAGAAAATCGTATCAAAATATTTTAAAAAAATATTTTGGTCCCTTTATCGTTGTGGTCGGACCCAATTTAGTTTTTTATGTTTCACTATGTACCAATTTAAACCCTTATATTTACAAAATAAAGTCAATGTAGGACCTTTAATAGAAAATTGGTGAACACTAATGAGTTAAAACAAAAAGGAGCAAAATACAGAAAAAAAAAATCCTTGGGATAGAAATTCATGGAATTGTGACTGGGGTTTGTAGATAATTTTCTTTATAACATGCTCAATTTTGTTTCAATGGTATATGTACTGTGCAAAGCAACACCACCATTAGGGTTGCCTAATTTTTCATTGAAATTCTTTTATTGGTTTTGCTTTAAGGAAATAATGGTTTAATTTGTTAGGTGGTGACGTGTAATCGATCAAATTAGTAGGCGGTTTAATTTGGTAAGGGACCATAATGGTCATTTTCAATGACGTGCACACTACCAAGTCCCTTAACGTTTATTCAATTTTCTATTACATTGCTTTCATTTTGTAAAGTATTGGTAGATAGTTATACATAAAGAACCAAATTGGTCAAAACTTGAAAAATAAGAGACCAAAATAATTATTTTTCCCTACGAGATTGGTTCAAAAATTAGAGTTTTTGGGTTCAAATCTCACTAAATATAAATTCAGTTCTTATTAATCCCACCATTATGGTAACTTTTAAGGCTTAGTCATGTGTCCCACCATAATGTACTAAAGAAATTTTTTTCGTGGTTTAACATATACTATTTTTTTAAATAATTTTTTTGATACATAAATATATTTATCATTATTTAGTTATGTAAAGTATTTAAATATCATAAATTATTATGGAAAATAAGAAATCATACATTTTGTAAAAGTAATTAAAGTTGTTTCTATTGTTGTTTGACAATTTCTTGTCGTGCATTAATTGCTGATAAAATGTTAATAATGCACTAGTATGCATTAATTGTTAATAACATGTTTATGATGCACTATTCATTAATAAAATTAGAAACTACATAAAATAATATTAATAAATTTACACTTTTTAGTTTCTTATACTAATAATTTAAAATAGTTAAGTATTCTACGGAAGAATAACTATAGATGAAGTGCCAAATAAATTGTTAATAAGCATAAAGAAGAAAAGAAAATGAAGAAAAAGAGAAAATATAAAAAAAAATATTTATACTATATATTTAATTTTTATTTCTAGTAACAAATAATGTATAACAAGAATTTGTTAAGATCCATCCTTTAGAAGAGATTGTTGTTATGAGATTTTGAGATAAGTCACTTACTTTTGAAAGACACGGGACTTGAGCTGACTTTTAAAGAATTTTGTATGCTAAACTTAAACTGCTTAACCTGGCCTACCATCGAAGGCAAATGGCCTTCCTTTTACAATTGGAGGTACAACTTTTTTCCACCCGCCGGGGGAGAGTTAAATTAGAAATTACTTAGAATAAATATGTGTTTTATAATTTTTTTCATATGAAATTCTTAGCACATTACTATCAAAATTTATATTTCATAGTAGAAATTAGGGGAAATGCCGGTTTTCATCCCCAAATTTTGGGGTAAGGACACATTTCGTTCCTCAACTTTTGGGCACGACACATTTGATGTCTGAATTAATAATTTTTGACCAATGTCATCCTCAAACGGCAATTTAGCCAATTTTAATGGAACTGGTCACGTGAAAATTACATGACCGTTAAGTGAAATTAAATTACATTTTTAACAAAACCTGCCAGTTTCCTGCATGCAATCAGTCAACTTTTGGCAATTTTAACTAAGCATCCATCAATAAACACTTGAGTCCCGTACGTAAGGGGAGGAAAAAGCTAAAAATAAGGAAAAAATGAAAAATAGGCAAGAAAAGAAATAACCAGCATGAAAAATGAAAAGGGATAATTTCACAAACATCCCTTGAGATTTTTAATAGTTACAAAAAGCTCCCCTCAAAATTTAAAAATTACATATACTTTGCATACTTTTACTATTTATATAAGAGCAAATTATTTGAGCAGCCATTGAACTATCTGAATAGTAAAAATTTGGCCCTTCAATTATTCATAACATATTTTTACCCATTGAACTAGTATGTTTTGTATTTAACATAAATTAAATATGTGAAAGTTAGAAAAAAATAATAAATTGTCCATAACATACCAGCTCTTTATGGGAAACTGGCAAGTTTTGTAGTATATTTTGTACCAACTCTTTATGGGAAACATACCAGCTCTTTATAGGAAAAATTGGTTAAATAGCGCCTAAAGGAAAACTAGTATGTCTTGTATTTAACATAAATTAAATATGTGAAAATTGAAAAAAAATAAGTTGCCCATAACATACCAGCTCTTTATGAGAAACTGGCAGGTTTTGTAGTATATTTTGTACCAGTTCTTTATGGGAAACATACCAACTCTTTATAGGAAAAATTGGTTAAATAGTACCCAAAGGAAAACTAGTATGTTTTGTATTTAACATAACTTAAATATGTGAAAGTTAAAAAAAAAAATAAATTACCCATAACATACCAGTTCTTTATGGGAAATTGGTAGGTTTTGTAGTATGTTTTGTACCTGCTTTTTATGGGAAACGTACCAGCTTTTTATAGGAAAAATTGGTTAAATAGCGCCCAAAGGAAAACTAGTATGTTTTATATTTAACATAAATTAAATATGTGAAAGTTAAAAAAAATAATAAATTGCCCATAACATACCAACTCTTTATGGGAAACTGGCAAATTTTGTTAAAAATGTGATTTAATTTTACTTAACGGTCATGTAATTTTCACGTGACCAATTCCGTTAAAAATTGGCTAAATTGCCGTTTGAGGATGACATTGGTAAAAAATTATTAATTCAGATATCAAATGTATCGTGCCCAAAAGTTGAGGGACGAAATGTGTCCTTACCCCAAAGTTTGGGAATGAAAACTGGCATTTTCCCTAGAAATTAAGGAGGAGGAATACAAAATTTAAACAATAATAAGAAAAACAACAAGAAGAAAGGGAAACAGACAAATGGTCATTTGACAATATTCTAACAATGAGGGCATAATTATCTTTTTGCTACCCAAATACAATAGACTACTCATGTCATCATGGGGAATTTGCAGGTTAGGTTTCATGAACACATGGGACTATTTGTTACTAACACCTAATTACAAAGGAGGCAAAATGTAATTGAGCTTAAGTTTGATCTTATGACACAAAACTTTCATCCTGCCCCGGCTTATTGAAACGCATAGCATCATTTGATAACATTACCAAGAAAAACATCATGACAGCTTTCGCCACAAAGGAATCCAAGACCAATTCTGGGGCTGTTCTTGTCATTTACCCTAAACATTTTTACCTGGGCAAAAATCCTTTGTCTCAAAATTATGTTCTTCAAGCATCAATTGCACCTCGGACTAGCTTTTGTTTCAATTTCTGTAGTACTCTCAATCGATTTTCGATGATTCTATAATTAAAAAGTCTAATTGCCTGCTGCTAGCATTTAAGATTCAATCACTTAGGAGGTTACAATTTCTAATTAAAATTCAAAGTCGGTTGGCAGCCTAACTACCCCTAAATTAGGGCTAGCTTATCGTGGCCCCAAAGCTAGCACATTAAAGTTCTCCTAAAATTAAGTAACAGGCTTGAGAAAAAAAAAAAATGCAAGCTTTTAATGATGAATGATCTCTACCACGCTGAGAAGGCCTAAGTCTAATGATCAAGGTTGAAACTCCAAATTTATAGGTTTTGGATTCAAATCCTCCTTCCTCTTTTCCGCTTCCTAAATTTCATATTCCTCCTTTGCTAGCTAAAAAAAAAAATTTTTTTTATGTTTTTTGATATCTACTTCAAATATGATTCTAAGGTGAAAAATAGCACTCATTCACATGGTCGTAAGATTTTCTTGCAAATAGTGGTGGATAAATTGGATTGAGTTCATTTCATAGCATAAAATGTATAAGTTGTCAGGAATAAGAGATTCTGAATATAAATCCCACTATCCCTTCCTCGTTTCTTAAATCCTATCATTTCCTTACTGAAAAAAAAAAAAAAACAGACGTAGTTGGGCAGGTGGCAAACCTGTTCGTTTTGTTTCATTAATATGAAATTCTTTGACATAATATTCTTTGGAGTTAGCTTTAGAAAATCCTCTAGTGCATTAGCAAAGTACAGTTAGCAGCCTCTATTCTCTTCTTTCTGTAGCTCACAAAAGTGAAGCAGTAGCTAGAGTTTCCTTTCAAGCGCCGAATGTTCTGAAACAGGAGAAATCCCTCTCTTGCCTATGCAATTAATTCTGGTGGCTGTATATTAGCAGTAAAATCACACGGGATTCAGGGCAGAATTTGCGTGATTCAGCCAGCAAACATCGCTATGAAACATTGTACCGCACTTTGCCAATTCTTCATATCGCAATTTCCCTGTGGCGACGCCTATATAAATGCATCCTCCTCCAGCACATTCTAAGAAATCAATAGGTGCACTGAGCACGCATATAACCTTAGAAAAAGTGGCATAGGCAGTGAAACTATGAATCCTCCAACCATCCCTTTTTGGCTGCTAGTAGTACTGTTTTCTCTTATTGGCTATTGTATTCACGTTGTCATAACGAATTTCAGCAAGCACAGGGCCAAGAAACTCCCTCCAGGACCTTCCCTATTTCAAACCATCGGTGTGTTCCGAACCAGTGAACCTTTCCACGCATCACTTGCGAAAGTCTCTCAAACTTATGGACCTCTATTGTCAATTAAGCTAGGAAGCAGAACAATAATAGTTGTTTCATCACCGGAAATTGCCAAAAAATTTCTTCATGAACATGATCTTGAGTTCTCTGTCAGAATGCTTCCTGATGCCGTCACAGCATTTGACCACCATAAAGTGTCTATTTTCTGGTCACCACCACAAGGCTCCTGGCGCATTCTTCGCAAAGTATGCAAAGAACATATATTTTCATCAGAAAGACTCAAAGCTGGTCAAGGGCTCCGCCAAGAAATGGTGCAGCATCTGTGCAACTATGTACAAGAATGTTGTATCAACGGGCAAGCTGTAAATATTGGTGAAGCTGCCTTCTCAACATCTCTCAGCTTGATGTGGAACACCTTCTTCTCGGTTGGTTTTGGACAATCAGATTCTATCTCGTCCGAAGAAATTAAAGAAACTGTATGGAGTATGATGAAAACTTTTGGCAGTCCTAATCTTGCGGACATCTTTCCCATCCTCAAAGCGATAGATCCCCAGCGTCTAAAGGGTCGAGCCAAGTTTTATATGGGAAAGCTGCTTGATATTATTGATGGTATCATACGCCGAAGAGTACAAGAAAGAGACGCATCTCTCACTTATACAAGGAAAAATGACTTCTTGGAAACCCTCCTTGATCTTAATCAGCAAAATGAAGCTGTATTAAGTTACCATAGCTTGAAACATTTCCTTCTGGTGAGTAAATGCTCCTGAATTAGCAACACAAACTTTAACTGGGTACTAATAACTCGTGAATTATGCAAAATCAAGGTAGTTTTTCGGACCTGGTGACCATAATATAATGCAAATAGCTATTGCTCAGCATTGCTAAGAATTTAGAAGCAATTCCAATTTGTTCTGGCCATTATTTTTGAAACCGATAATCGTCAATTGAACTCAATCAACTTGCTTAAGTCTGAATCAATCTTCAGTGATTAATCAATAGTAAAATGATTTGATATTGTCATGTACGTCAAGAGACCTGAAATAATACCTCGTGTGTAAATACTCATTAGCTGAATCAGAATATCAACTGAAACAAAAAATGATTGGCTGATCAAATCCCCTCTCTATTTCAGGATTTATTCATTGCAGGGTCAGAAACAAGTTCAACCACCGTGGAATGGGCGATGGCAGAGTTACTACGAAGTCCTGAAATAAAATCAAAAGCTAGAGATGAGATCGTGGAAATTGTTGGAAAAAGTGAGCTCGTTCAAGAATCAGATATCTCAAATCTCCCTTACTTGCAATCATTAGTTAAAGAGACCTTTCGGCTTCACCCCGCTGGCCCCCTACTGCCTCGCAAAGCTGAGAGTGATACAGAAATCCATGGCTACATGGTGCCACAAAATGCTGAAGTTTTGGTTAACTTGTGGGCTATGGGCAGGGATCCAAGCTTGTGGCCAAATCCAAATTCGTTCCTACCTGAACGATTCATGGACAGAAACATTGATGTGAAAGGCAATCATTTTGAGCTCCTTCCCTTTGGCACGGGAAGGAGAATTTGTGCTGGACTGCCACTGGCTCATAGGATGGTGCACATTATGGTGGCTTCTTTGCTTCATAAATTTGATTGGAAGCTTGAAGAAGAAATCAAACCAGAGCAACTTGACATGAGCGAAAAGTCTGCACTAACATTACACAAGGCAGTGCCCCTTAGGGCCATTCCTGTTAGAACCACAGTTTAATGATTGGTATTTGATAGGTTGGCATCCTATCTGTTTAAATTTGAGGAAAGGAATGTAAATTTTATCATTAGAGTACCAAGAAAACACAATAACAGTGGGACTAGACCACTTAAAGTACGTATGCCTATAATATGTGTACTTGATATAAAAATGTGTTAGATATTTAGGTTTTGGTGTTTCTATCATTTAACAATTCCTATCAAGCATGCAAAATAGATACATTATATGCCTATCAGTTATGTGTCAGCTGGACTTAAGTGGGGCAGATTTGAGAAGTTAGGATTCAAAATGCCTAAAAATTAAAATTTAAGATCCAAAGAAAAAATAAAATTCAAGGATGTAAAATGTAAAATGTAAAATTCAACATGTGTATCATTCGACAGAAGCACCGGGACTTTGCTCGAGAAAACGTTTGGTATATCATTTCGTAGAACCACCGGTGCTTTTTTTCCTTGTCAGAAATGTCATTGAGCATCGGTGCATGAAACAGTTGATTCGAATCACAAAATCAACGTTAAAAGTTGAAAAAAAAAAGCTCTATAAATAGGTAAATAAGACTATCGTTTTTAGCACAAATAAATCGAATCATCGAAATAGACAATTTTATCATGATCATTTTACTACAACCATTAAATAATGGCACCCCCTAAATATTTAAAAGGCCAAGTTTCCCGTCGAGTAGGATTGTGGTGTAAATAAAATGACCATTTTGCCCTTAATTGAACTTAAATGGAACTTGTGAGGCCTGTGATCCAGCCATGACAATGCCTCCAAAATGGAAGTATACCTCTCTTGAAGAATGAAATCGGTGCTGCGCGCGTTGCCTTGAATAGTATCCTGCATCAAAGACTAATACTATAAAACAAAAAGAATCAGCAGCGGAATTGTACAAAAGTGGTATTCAGGAATCCTATTCCCAACAGCATCCTTGAATCAGTTCAGTTTTCTCTAGCAGCAGAAAGTGCTGTTACTTTGCTCTCAGCAGATGTTTAATCAAACCCTATCAGGTCTTTGCAGGGCTTGTGATCAGAGCAGTATTAATCGAGTTGGTTGATGAGTCAAACCCGTAATGAACTCTCTAGCTTTAGAAAATAGGAATCAAACTTTACTTGATGTCTTGATAATTATGCCCAGGCTCTCGATCCTCAAGCACCGCATTAGATAATGCACAGAAAGAAAGCTGGAATATGAGAATGGACGAATTACTTCAAACGTCATTACTGTTTAAAATTGTGTTTCATATAGCAAAGTTACTCGATTTGCAAACCAAAAACTACAAATCGTGATTCGTTAATACTCTACAAACACAAGAAGGATATTCTTGATAGGGATTCTTAATAAATTCAAGGGCAAATGGCAGCGAACCCCCTAAAGTTTGGTCTCAAAGTTACTTTGCATAGTGTTAATTTTTGAGCACTTAGTCCCCTTTGGTCAATAAAAACATACTGACCGTCAAAAAAATTCCTACTAAACTTCCAAAAGTGCTCATAGTTCTACTTACTGTGGCTTATTAGGCACAAGAAGCTACTAACCAATGCAGAAAAATATAGAAGACACTTGCAAAGGACAAGAAACAGACAATGATGGAGCCAAGGGGTCCTAAGTTTTGAAAATTTTAATTTATAGTGTATACATATATATATACATATATATATATACATATATGTAAAATAAAATTATTATTTATTTTTTGTTGTGCTAAATATTTAACTTTCAAAAAAGTAAACATATAATTTGACGATCCATAGTAAATTGACCCAATTTGATATATTATAATAAAAAACTCAACTCATAATTATTAATGGGGTAAAACAAAAATAATTATTTTATTTGTCCATTTACAAATATACAACTTAACCCATTTGATTAAATTTGTTTGCATTCTTTCTTTATCAAGTGCAACTACAGAATGGACATTTTCAATTATGAAGATAATCAAGATGGAATATCATTTGTTAAATGATTGCATAAATATGTACATAGAAAGGTAAGTCATTGGAAAATTTAGCATTGCTTCAATTATAGATGAATTTAGTTCTATGAAAGAACAAAAAGCTCAATTTACTTTTAAGAAAAGAGGTTGAAAATTTAAAATATGTTAACATAATTTTTATCTTTTTTAAATTGAAAATAGCTATATATATATTTGCACGGGTGACATATTGAAGCATTTTCTCGTAACGTGCAACTTGGGTGATTTGTAATATATAAGATATTTAATCAAAGGTTATTTCTTGTCTTAATTTTTGTTATAACTATGTTACATATTTATGAAATAGACATACATTTATAATTAAAATTAATATTTGATGTTTTTAAATGTCATATATTTAAATATATGAAAATTATTTTCAACATAACGTATTAACATAATTTTGCTATGAAAAATTTTGGTCCCAGACAAAAAAAATCCTGACTCCGTCACTTTCCAGATTCTCTAACGAGTGTGGAATTGATACAAAGATGCCCGAAAGAAAGCCTGCATTATAATCCGATCTCATAGATCAACAAGGCTCTGAACAACACATCAATGGAGAGAAGGGAACGCCTCTGCAGATCATCTAAGCCAAGACTAGCATGAAATTGAGGCAAGAGGAGGAACGGCACTATGTTGGATCACCGGTCTCTGTTAGGAGTTTACTGACTTTTGATGATGTAGTTGGTATTACTGCGCCAAGATTTTGGCTAGATGTAACGGGTTTCCACCCTCCTAAGCACCAAGAAAAAAAATGGTTTTGACACTAAACGTTAAGGGTGTTTATTACCATTTACCCTAAGTTGAAAAGCAAACGGAGATAGGGAAGAGAAATCATCAAATGTTCATAAGAAAGTAATGTTATAGAAAACTACAAAAGATGCAACATGCAAGATCAAGTATTTGGAGTAAAAACTGCAAACTGTGTGTTTCATGGGGATATATTCAGGGGAAAAAAAAAGGTCCACTAGTAATGAAACTGTTTTGGCTACCTATGGTGAAAAGTAATACAGAGTAATTAACTAAATTTTGATTTTAATGTTCCTTAATTTACAGTCTTCGAAACGAAGTAAAATGAATTTTCTGCTTTTGGTTTTTGAGTTCACTAACGAAATCATGAATTAACAATTAATAATTATTCTACCACATCAATTAATAATATTAAATAGAAATTGAAAAGTAGCCAATTTTAGATCTGTTCCGGAGCCAAACCCATAATCTCATTCGGTTAGACTCTGGTTTTCCACTCCGACCCCACAATGCCGCTGAAAACAATCTCCGGCACAGGCAGAACATGCTCGATTTCGTCCGTTTTCATCACCTTCTCCCTTCTCTGCATCCTCCCACTCTCTTTTTTCTTCTTCCTTTCCAATCCTAGATCGACCCCTCCTCAGAATCTCCTAAACAAGCTTCAAATCTCCGAAAATTCCATCAAAGTCTACATCTCAGAGCTTCCCAGATCACTCAACTACGGCCTGTTGGAAACATACTGGGCTTTACCCTCAGATTCAAGGCTTGGAAGTGAAGTAGATAATGAAATCCGAAAGACCCTTTTGTCCAAAACTTCTAAGAAGTTCCCTCCGTACCCTGAGAATCCATTAATTAAGCAGTACAGTGCGGAGTACTGGATAATGGGGGATTTGTTGACGCCTGAAGAGCTCAAGAAAGAATCTTTAGCCAAAAGGGTTTTTGATTTTAGGGAAGCTGATGTGGTTTTTGTGCCTTTTTTTGCTACCCTTAGTGCTGAAATGCAGCTGGGAGTGAATAAAGGGGTGTTCAGGAAGAAGGTCGTGGAGAATGAGGATTATCAGAGGCAAAAGATGGTGGTGGATCTTGTGAAAAAATCTGAGGCTTGGCTGCGGTCCGGTGGTCGTGATCATGTCTTTGTTCTTACCGGTAATTTGCGAATTTAGGACAATATTTATGTGTTTTCTTTATAATTGATTTGAGTTTTGGTGATGATTACTAGTGATGGCTGATTTCTTCCTAGTGTAAATATACTTGTGTGAATGGCAATGCTGGTTGCTTTGGTTATCTGTATATAGATGTATGCCTTGCGGAAAAATGCTACATTTATTTGATCTATTGGCGGCTGCAAAACTTATGACTCGCAATGTGCCCTTAAACAAACTGAGTAGGCAAAAGATCTGTACTTGAATTAACGACATTGTCTCTGTTATGCCACTAGGCAAATGGGAGTAGATGGTCAGGCTGTTGTTTGTGTATTCGCTATTTGAATCACTACAATGTTTTCATGTTTAGTCTAGTCTTGGTTGGAGTTTGATTCATGTCTGATTTTATTGGACTGTGCATGTCATTTTTTTTGAATGGGGAGTAGATTGCTTTGCTAATGTACCAATGAAAGGATTAGCATAAACAGGCTTCAGTTAGCTTTGGAGCAGGAAATTATGACTTGAACTTGGTGTTTTGTGCATTTGCTAGTCCATAATAAAGTTGTAGGGCGGTTTTTTCTTTTATCTTGTACCATATGAATATTTTACAAGAGAGGAAACTGTATTGCATGCTGTTGCAGCTTATAATTTAGTCTTTGGATTGTCAGGTTGTGTTAAAACTTGAAGCATTCTTTGGCAGACCCTGTTGCAATGTGGCATGTAAGAGAGGAGATAGCCCCTGCAGTTCTACTTGTGGTGGATTTTGGTGGGTGGTACAGGGTTGACTCAAAAGGTTCAAACGATAACTCATCAGATATGATTCATCATACTCAGGTTTCTTTACTGAAAGATGTAATCATTCCCTATACCCATCTTCTGCCAAGGTTGCAAATATCAGAAAACAAGAAACGCCATACTCTTCTTTATTTCAAAGGAGCTAAGCGTCGGCATCGGGTTAGTATTCACTATGTAGATTATTTGGCTGCTTAAGTATTGGTTTGTGACCAATGCCCAAGGTGTATTTATCATTACCAAAATGTAGATTAAACATTTATACTGAGTTTTCTTATTAGAGTAAATCAAGTTAGTGGTTTACATTAGTTTCATGCACATTCACAAAATTGTCTTTTCCTAGTTGCCGCTTGCATATTTTTAAACCATGAACAGTATCTTTTATGAAGTTCATTTGTCTCTTTTTGAAAATTTTCTTCAGGTATGGAAATGAATTCTTTTTCATCTTGTCGGCCTCTCCAGTAGATTTTCTTGATCCAAATAATTTTCTGCCATTACCTCCTTTCGAAATTGGAATTTCTGT